TATGTCATATGGTTGATAAGTTTGTGGTATGACTAGATTGTGCATAATATAGAAAATGTCATATGGTTGTTATTTGTGACAATGAAGGTTATAGGAATATTTGATTACCTATGACAGCTTGTGTTATTTGTGGAATAAATTGTATGTGATTTAATTGTTTGTATGTTTAGTTGCTCACCTTTCATATGTTTTTAATATCAACATATATGCATTTGCATAAAATAGATATACCTTAGTTACTAAGTGGTTACACTCATTCATCTCCTTAACATTTTATAGGCCCTATCTTAGGACAAGATAAGGAAGGGAAAAGAACTAGAGGCATAGGACAACAGTTGTTGACTGTCAGCTGTAGGCCTCTAGTCTTTCATTTTAAATATGTGTAATTAAACTTGATTATTGCCAACTAGGAAATTGCATTTTGGTTATACATATACTTGCATTATTAATTGTTAGGCTGAACAATTGTATTTTGAACTCTAGGTTGTTTGTGGTATGATTGATTTATTTAGTCAGGGCCAAAATGTTGGAATAAGTGTGAAAGTGATGTGAATAATTGTATGAAGCATATGATTGATTATTTTTGAGAATTGAAATGCAAAAGACCTCCCCTATTATTTTTTATGCCAAAGAGTTAAGGGTTGAAAATGAGTTACATGAGTTATTTGATTGATGTGGTATGTGCATAGTTAGTCTTGAGTTCATTATATGTGGTCTAGCTCTTGGGTTGTATTTATGGCACATGGTTTGGAGTTTGGACACAAGGATTAAATTGTCAGCATGAAAATATACTAGTTTGCAAATAGACATCCAACTTTTAATTGAGTGATAATTTTGAAATGAAACTAGTGACATTGTACTTTAAAATAGATTTCTGATGACATTTAGATCTCCTCAATTGAACATTGGATGAGAAATAGGGCATACCAAAAGTTCAGCCTCGTGCCATCAAATGATAGTGGAGTTGCTGTCAAATCTATTCAATATGCCACGATGCATTACATAGAGAGGATAGGCCACAGCATATGGATTACAAGTCACAACACATCCTCTATTTTGCTGTCTTGGTAATTTCCAAATGTTTTTCAAAGGTTTTATGTCACACCCTAAAATTTTTCCTAAAACAATTTAACTCAACCTTTGTAAAAAAGTATCTACCATGGTCAACAGAAGTCAATTGATCTTACATTTTTATTTGAAATCATTTTTGTAATTTAAAATACTACCATAGTAAAAAAGATTAAGGTAGATAAATAAATACCATCATAGAAAATAGAATTTAAACTTTTTAAATTGTTATTTTTAAAATTTGAGATCCCAAGTAATTAAAAATAAAATAAATGTAAAAGGCCCAAAAGATCTCTTTTAGAATTGAGAAAATGATGAACATGATAAAATAAAAAAAATAAACATAGTTATGCATTTTAAAATCTTACAACCACTTATCAATCTTTTCAAACAACACAAAATAATTTTATACAACTAATATACATCTACAATCATAGTTGGATTACAGCCACCCAACACATTTTATATCAATAAATTCAACATAAAAAATATTTAATAATTAATTTAAGCTTGTACAATATAATATCTTAGATAAAATTTTATTTCCCACATGCCATTATGCTAAAATCACATCTTTTCAACCTTATACTTTCAACAAGTGCAAACCATAAACTCACAACCAAAATAGATAACTTAATTAGTTTTCAAAACAAGTCCATTATATAGGCCAATAATCATGCCATTTCAAACCATTCAAAATAAACTAGATATCAAGTTACACTCATCTAAAGTGTACTAAAGGCCGAAATAGTTTGAAGGGCATGATTACAACATTACATTCATATAATTATTAATGTATAAAAAGCCCTAATATTAGTAATATAACATATTAAAAATCATAAATCAAAATACCCAAAAGAAATAGTGGAATATATGCCATTAAGTCTCAGGGATTCCTCCACACGCCACACATGATTCCTCTCTTAAAAATTGTTAACCACATAATGAGACTCAAAAGTCTCAGTAACCAATACCAATTTATGATAGCATATATGAACAGTTAATGTGTGCTTGCTAAATGGGAAACAAAAATCATATAATTCTATCAAAAATACAAGAAATATTGTAATGTATGAACAACAATCATCCTTATCTTTCCTCAATTAACCTCAAGCCATAGCCCTCACTTGTTGTTAAATTATTTAGCCAAAGATAGATTACCCCGAGCCCTTACAAGCTACCTATTGGGTCTCTAATAGAGGTGTACTACATGACACATAAATATAACAAAAACAACAAGTCTTCCAACACCTTCCACAATAATCAAATAAATTTATAACCGTACAATTATACAATATTACAATCTTCATAATTTTTCTCATTTTCAATAATATTACAACATGACATCCCACTTGGCAAAAATATTTTAAACTACATATTCACAATTTCACCATTTTTCCATAAACATAACAAAATGATTTTTTAATAATAATTTATAATTTTCTCAATAATCACACAATTAACATGAAATAATACTAATAACAAATTAAAAGCATAATTACCTCGTGGCTTTTTCAATAAATTATTTCTTACAATTTCTCTTCCACCATAATTTTCACCAACAACACAATATATAAATAATATATTATATATAAATATTAGTTTCAATTATTGAAACTAATAAAATAACTCTAATAATAAAATTAGAGAATATAGAGTTAGTACCATCAAGTAAAATTTTTAACTCTTCTTTTAGTTATCAATAAACACTAATAAGCTAAAATCAACCTCAAAACCCATTTTTATAATCAAAATTTTCCTTTTTATGTCATAAATTCGTACCTAAAAATATCTAAAAATTATAAATTGAGTCTCAAGCCTAATATCATCATTCTATAGCCATAATAATTTATTTTTCATCCCAAATAATTATCTAAACATTAATAAATTAACATATATTTTTAGACTTAACAAAAATCCACCCATAAAAGTATAGAGTTTAACTCATAAATCTCAAATTCAAATCTCATCAACAAATTTATACTCTAAAACATTTATTATACTACTATTAACTTCAACCATCACATTTATTTATTATAAAGTTGTCCCTCTTTTAAACTTTAAATTTTTTACCACCACAAAATTAAAAACAAAAGAAATAGATGTATAAAAAAATTTTAAAATACTTATATAATCTTAAAAAATTTAAAATTACACCCTTAATATTCTATTAAAAATATTTACCTTTAAAGCTCAAATCCCTTCTCGCCGACGGCTCACATTCTCTCCTTCTCTACTCGCGCACCCGAAAAAGGGAACGGCCAGGTGAAGGAAATGAGAAAAGATAAGAGGGGCGGGAGATATTAAGAAAAAAAATGTGGATCCCATAGCCTTTTTTCACTTTCATTATTATAAATGCCTACATATAATAATACCTATCCCTCCATGGCTCCTTTTTTCTTTTTTTTTTCATATATATATCAATACACTTACACGTAGAGAAAATATATTTTCATTTCTTCCACCACCCTCTTTCTTTTTTATTTATTTATTTATCAATCTCTCCCTTTTATATTTTTTTCTAATAATAATAATAATAATTTCTAAAAATCTTAATTTAGAACTATTCCCAAATTAAATATAATAATCTTCTCCAACTAATTTACTTACCTTTAAATATTTTTTAAAATTTTCATTAACTCAAATTAACTGTTAAAATTTAAATTGAGATATTACATTTTAACTTTGAAAAGGTATCACATACTTTCATACATTGTTTAAACTCTAATCTATGTAGAATTACCTAGTGCTACGTCATTTTATTTAAAGAAGACTTGAAATTCCACTTTTTTTTTTGTTTGAGGCTTAAATGATTTGATAATAGTTGGACACTTGGCATTATTTGAGTAGTCCTTCTTTATTTTATAGTTAAATGAATTTAAACAATAGTTAATGAGTTTTAAAATGAGTTTTGGTAATCTATTTGGATTAGCCCCATGATTACTATAAAGGTTTTGGCCAAGTATTAAGGTAATAAGGGCATTATTATAGTAGGGCATAGACAGATGATGTCCACTAGTCGCTTAACACCCAAATCAAACTAAGAAACACCCTTAAGGCTTAGCCTAGGTTGATGCTCTTACAGAGTTAATTAAAAATTAAATTATAAGTAGTTTAAATCTATCAAGAATAATAACAATTTAATTGGGCTTGATTGATTAGAAATTTAATAAGAATTAGATGTAAACTAATTTTTTTGGTAATTTTTGAGAATTGGGCAGAATTGGAAAATGGATTAGTTTATGATTAAAATGCAATGTTATGCTCTTTTTAGGCACATGAATTTCCTCTCTTATCCTTGCTCTATCTAATTAATTTCTCTTAACTCCAATTAGTTTTAAATACATCCTAGTAACCATTAGAAATTAACACTCTAAGGTTTTTTAGAGTAACTAGGACTCTAAATTAACATTTATAATTAACTATGCTTTCAAGATAACTAATTAATTATATTGTTAATTGTTTATTCCTAGCCTTACCTTAACCAAATGAGACCCCAAATGGATTAAGAAAAATGATTAGCTAATCTATAGTATGATTAATGCATAACTGTGGCTCACAACCTCACAAGTGGCGAAAAGAAATTAAATGCAACAATGGTTGAATAAAATTAAATTTAAACAGCCCAAATTTAAAATTGCAGCACCTCAATTGCAAATTAATAACAATAACAACTTCATATAATACTTAACCAAGAATTACAAAACTTAATTTCAACAACTATTATCATTATAATTTTATAAACATCAAAATTTAAAAAATTAAATAAGAAGTAAGAAATAAAAAAAAACTTTTAAAATTTAAAGAATTCAAATAGAGTTATCCATGCATTCTGCGAAGACAAATTAATTGAAGTTAATCTGTATACAAGAGAGAGGCCGACAGAGAGATGGGAAAAATCTATCTTCTTATCCGCATCCTGCTGGACCAATAGAGGGGCTGGGAGTCCAAGCCGTAGCTGACAGCTGTGACTGTTTGTAATCAAACCCTAAACGCTTCTTGTACAACAGCCATTGCATCCTCAATCTTTCTCGACATGGCGTCCACTCTGGGCACTTCTTCAATTGCGACCTTCCCTTCTCGATCCCTCTCCTCTCCTTCTTCCAGAATTTCCCTCCATTCTCTCTCTTTAGCTACAGGTTCATCCCTTCACCAATTTTTCCTCTTTATCAACATTCTTACTTTTAGGAGTCTGTCATTGGAGGTGAAAGTGCATTATTGTTGACAGTGTTGATTGTTTGTTGTACTTCAGCTCAAAGCTATGGGCGCAAGTTCTGCGGAGGAATTGGAATTCGGGGTATAGAGGGGAAGTCTCGCTTCTCAGTGGCCAGCGTAGCCACTGAAGTAAACTCTATAGAGCAGGTAGTCAAAGGATTTCAGATTTTCATTTTTGAATTGAGTTTACTTACCGCACTTATGTATTTGTCGTTATTTGGTAGAGCATTGTTCATTGGTGTAAGGAAATCAGTCCAAAATAATGGGTTTGGATTATAATTGGGTGGGACATCACTGCCTGCAGTTTAGATGTTTACTGTAAATACTTCAATTCTTCTGGTCTATTCATAACGAATTTTATCAAAAGAAAACATTGAAAACTTGATTCGAAGTGTATAGAGATGTTTTTTTGCCTTCACGTATCCATCAGCTATTTGGTTTGCAGATATCTTGTTTGAGGTCATGTGTAGTGTAGAATGATAATAAGGATAAGATTCTGACCTCTGCTTTTCCCCCTTTTTAATGTTCATGTATAAAATGTTAAGTCCGTAAACTTATCATTTACAGGGCCAGAAAACTGATTCTGAAAATAGCCAGAGGCCAGTGTACCCATTTTCAGCTATAGTAGGACAAGATGAGATGAAGTTGTGCCTTCTACTTAACGTGATTGATCCCAAGATTGGAGGGGTAATGATCATGGGGGACAGAGGGACAGGGAAATCAACAACTGTTAGGTCATTAGTTGACTTGCTTCCTCAAATTAAGGTTGTTTACGGGGACCCATATAACTCAGACCCAGAAGATCCAGAATCCATGGGCGTGGAAGTGAGAGAACGCATTACAAAGGGAGAGAAACTTGAGGTTGTGTTGACTAAAATCAACATGGTTGATTTGCCACTGGGAGCTACAGAAGATAGAGTCTGTGGGACAATTGACATTGAAAAAGCCCTCACGGAGGGTGTCAAGGCATTTGAGCCTGGTCTACTAGCCAAAGCCAACAGGGGAATCCTCTATGTGGATGAAGTTAATCTGTTGGATGATCATTTGGTAGATGTTTTACTGGATTCTGCTGCCTCTGGCTGGAACACAGTGGAGAGGGAGGGTATTTCGATCTCCCATCCAGCTCGGTTCATCTTAATCGGCTCAGGCAACCCAGAAGAAGGGGAGCTCAGGCCACAGCTTCTTGATAGATTCGGCATGCATGCTCAAGTAGGGACCGTAAGGGATGCTGAGCTAAGGGTGAAAATTGTGGAGGAGAGAGCAAGGTTTGACAAGAATCCAAAAGAGTTTCGAGATTCTTACAAAGCAGAGCAGGAAAAGCTTCAGGAACAGATTGCTTCAGCCAGAAGTGACCTTTCTTCAGTTCAGATTGATCAGGATCTCAAGGTGAAGATCTCCAGGGTTTGTGCAGAGTTGAATGTGGATGGATTGAGAGGAGACATAGTGACAAATAGAGCTGCAAAGGCTCTGGCTGCTCTTAAGGGAAGGGACAAGGTGAGTGCAGAGGATATTGCCACAGTGATCCCTAACTGCTTGAGACACCGCCTGAGGAAGGACCCCTTGGAGTCTATAGACTCAGGTTCACTTGTAATTGAGAAGTTTTATGAGGTATTTAGCTGATGCTGCTGTGATATTAACATGGTCCATTAGCCGTGAGATTAATGAGCATATTACTATTTCTTTAGCCTCTCCTTCACCCTTTATGTTGGGATTTTCACCGCACTATAGGCATAGCAAGATGAAATCATGTACACTTGGTCTAATGAAACTGATTATTCCATCGTAAATTTGAAAAATAGTATAAAAAGATAACTGAATCCTTTTTTTGAATAAAAAAGAAACTGAATCCTTTTATTTTTTGGTTTCTTATCATGCATTCATGTTTATATTTAAACATACGCATTACTGCAGCACTTGGCTTACAGAGGAAAATAAAGAGGAGAGGAAATAGAGAAAAGTGGAGGAATGCAAGTTTCTTTTCCTATGCTTAGCTGAGCAAGAGAAAATGGTATGAAGGAAAAATTGTTAATTTCAAATAGATAATGGTAATCTTATTATTTGTAAAAAAATATTTATATATAATACAACTTAATATTTTAACATATTTATATAATTTTTATAATAGATTACTAATTGAATAAAAATGTAATTTCAAATTATTTTATGGGAAAATATAACGTTAGGTTCCTGTTTTTTGTTTGATATTTGCTGTAAGTTTATATATATATTTTTTCATATTCTAAAAAAAATTGCAGAAATTTATAGCAAAGTGCAAAAACTTAAAATTATATTTTTCTTTATTTTATTCTAAAGTTAGCAGAAAATTAGAATGAAAATGAAGATAAAAAACAAAAAATGCAAAGCTTCTTTGGTAAATTTCAAAATTAAGTTTTTTTTTTTTAACTTTCCCATATTTGAATAAAAAAATTAAAGGTAAAAATATTTAAATTTTATGTATTATTTTCTTTTCATTTTTCTCATCTTCTCATTTTTCTCTTTTTAGCTAAACGTAAGGAAATGTCTTTTAAGGAAATGTTTTTATTTTTTTTTCACTTTTTCTTCTGTTCACTTTTCATTTTCACTTTTTCTTCCCCTTACTTTTCTCTCATGTCAAGCACATCCATTCACTTTTTTTTTTTTTTGACATTTCATGTAAAGTAATCGGTGTCAAAAACCATTGCTAGCATTGTATGGTGGCTCTGATTATTCCACAGTTCAAGATGCTTGGTGCTTAGAACTATTTAAAAGACTAGTGATTCCATGTTCTAGCCATTACGTTATTGAATCAATATAAAGAAAAAAAAATGAAATGTGAACTATTTCCGTGGTAAGTTTCTATAAACCATGTATACATGAGACGTTATAAAACATACAGAATGAGCATGTTCTTTAAGCAGCTCTAGAATCTAGAGGTCTGAAACTGAACTTTTATTTCTCACTAACAGACTCGTGGCCGGCCTGCAAAGAAAAGCATCATAAAATTACGAACTTAGGAGCGAAAAATTGAATATATCACTGTTTAGAACTACGCTGTAATATTAACATGTCATTTTCAGTAAGTCCTCCCCATATGCCAGGCCTCAACTCCAAAAATGCTGGTGGCCGCTGGTATATAAGTGAAGCTGCCCTGATTAACATCGCCGCAGTTACAGCCCAGATCACATATTTCTTATTATCACCTTCATAATCAAAGAAATGTACTAGATGCTTCTTTCCCATCCATTCTTTTTCCACAGCTCTCCTATTCTCATCCTGCATACCCACACCATGATGTCATAGGGTTTATCGGAGTTCAATCATCATGTCAAGGCGCACAAAATTGTAGGAGAAAATTGGAAGTAGAGTAAAACCTTGAGGAACATCTCCAATGGAACATCAAATAATTCTTCAACTTCATTTGGATTTAGCACGGGAGTAAATGCATCCTTGTTTGACAGTATGCCAATCACAGGAGTTATTGTCATGCCATACTGCACTTGGAAAAACCAATATGTCAGGAAAGATACTAATGCATGGCTTTAAATTAGTTTGTTGCAGAAGATTCGCAGGCCGAATTAGAATTACAGTATGAATGTATTTAGAATACCTTGAGAGTCATAAACCTCCTAGGCTTATGCCCCCATAAGTGAAAGAGCTGAAACAGCCAGATACGCCTGGGAGTTAGGAGGATAAGAGAAGGAAAGGAATCCCACTGAGAAAAAGATGTTCAAATATGAATTCCTTCACCTCCATTTATTTACTTATTTATTTTGGCAAACTAAATTGCTTCTGACTGTTTGGAGAAACTTTATTCTTCAAAATCTCCTATCAAGGTCAGAACTTTAGAAGCAGGTCAGTGGGCAGTGAATTGGCTAAAACAATGAGCACAACAGAACTGAAAGCTTGGCAGCACACCTATCCTCCCTTTTGTCAATTGTGGATTTCTGACACAGTATATGCTATAGTAAAGCATTGATATTGGAGCTAAAGTCGCATGCTGTCTCTTTTTTGGTTCTGTTGATTTTTGTTTTCTGATGTATAAGTTAAAACTAGACAAGTTTCTAATTAGATCTCAGAGTTGTTTAGACAGAGTGCAGGTAGAACTCAGACAAAGCTGCTAATACTGAGAAATTGCTCGAAGAACTAAATTAACATTACGACCCAAACTATACTAGTTGAATTTTATTGGACATTCCTGACAAAGTATGTCTTATTCCATCAAATTTTCATATATTCACTTCATTAACAACGAATCCAGCATTCTGATCAGAAATGATTTTTATGCATGCACTCGTAACAGTAACAACAGAATGCACATATTCCCATGAGATTCATTTTTCTATTAAAATCATCGTCAACATTTCTCTAAAAATAAAAACTGTAGAAAGGTTTATGAATAATCAATAAAACGACTCTAACACAACGAAATACGATTAGAGAAAAGGGGGGGGGGGGAATCATGTTTTGTACCTTCGTGCTAAATGGCTCAAGAGAAGTGATAACAGTAACAAGAGAAGGGTCCAAACCAATCTCCTCCTTAGCCTCCCTCAACGCCGTTTCTACATCGTTAGCATCGCCTTCTTCTCTCTTCCCACCGGGCAGCGCAACCTCACCTGCGAGTTGCAACCACACACACAAAGCCCTTCTCTTGGGTAACACGTAGGAGAGAAAACCCCCCAAAATTTCTGGATTGTCAGAATTGCAGAAGACGGCGGGGAAGACAATACCTGAGTGGGTTGACAAAGAAGAAGCCCTCAAAGTGAGAAATACTCGCAGATTCCCATCGTCCCCTTCAAAAAGGCAGATCAAGACGGAAGCTGTCTTGGTAGGTCTGAATTGATTTGACGAAGAATTGTTGAGGCCGGTAGGTTCGGAGGTTCGAAAATGCTGAAGTAAAGCTTGTATTCTGTGAGAGATTCTCGGATCTGTCTTGTTCGAACCCATTCCACTCTCACCACGCTCAGACCTCAGTCTTCAGAGCTTCTCTCACGTTCTCATTCGCGGATACAAACGTGGGGAAAATGGAGAATTGCGTACGCCATCAGAAAACTCAACCCCCTTGGATGAATTGCCAGTGAAGACAATCTTGCATTGAAAAGTGTTGACAAAAATTATCCAAAGGCCAATTACTTCAACTTGATCTCCAATTTCATCCAGCGACCGACTGTAAGGAAGCTCCAAAGATCAAATATAATTCCTACTCATAAAATTTAAGTATGATGTAGGGTCGTCTTTTAGTTTCTTTTTTTTTTTTTTAATAATTACTTTCACCAAATTTTTATGTGTTTATTTAAAATTTTAAAAATAATCAGAATTAAAATAAAAAGCAAGTATTTGATTATTTGAAAAAGCTAATTAGAGTAATTTCTTAAATAAAATGTGCAATAGAAGTGAGAGGAGAAAGTGCAAACAGGGTTATTTTTACATAAGGTAACAAAATTTTTCGATATCCTCCCTCTTCCTCCTCTATGTTTCTCTTTTCTCTTGCACCATCTCATCAATCACCCTATTTCTCATTTATTATATACTTGTGTGTATTTAAGAAGTTTCCCAAATTTTCTAGAAGCCTTGGAGTTATATGTTTAGAAGTTTTTTTCTTTCTTTTTCTTTCTTTTTTTGGTCTTTGACATGTGACTATTTTTTCTATAGTTTTTTAAATATCAAAATGAGGGAATGACACCGAAAAAGGATGAGAAGTTTTGAGAGAGGTGAAAGAATTAAAGCAAAATAAAATAATAAAAAAAATAAAATGCATTTAAAAATATTTGTTTAAGAGATACTTACAAAGAATAAATAAAATACATATTTTCATAAGTATGGGTGGATGAATCTCATAAAAACTGTTTTTTTTTTTTATGATTTTAACCAAACTTTTTGATTTTTTTAAAAATCTCTATAAAATAAATTTATTTTTTAAAAAAATCTCTAAACTATATAAAAATCACTTACTTCTTAATTTTAAACAAACGGGCTCATGATGTATTAATTTCTACTTATAAATTGCACCCTTCCCTTCTTTTAAAATTATAAAACATTTTTAAAATATTTAAAAATATAAATCATTTTGATTTTTTTTAGAAATAATTAATATTTTTTAAATATATCCATAACAAGTACTTGAAATTTAATAATATGTTCAAGGTTAAAAAAAATAAATTAATAGAATTTTTCTGGTAAAAAAATAAATAAAATTTTCACATTTATTTGTAATTAAATCATTTTATGAAATAAAAGTAGACATGAAAGAATAATTAATTTTTAATAACGTTAATTATTTTCAGAATAGTATTTTTCATTGATTCACATAAACAATGTAATTAATTACAATTAGTTGATGTTCTTAATAAAATTAGTGTCTCTAGTAAAAACAAATATCTTTAATCAAATGCTACAAATTCTAACCTAATCTTACTCTTCTCGTCAGGCTTCCTCTTCACCGCAATTATTATTCAATAATATTTATATCAAGAGCATTATTAAAGGAAAAAAAATAAATTGTTACGTAAGGTTTACAAAATTACTTGTAAATTAAAATAAAAAATAGAGAATAACAATCAACTAATCATCAATATTAATATAATATATATATATATATATATATATATATATAACAAAATGGCATTAGTCTCGGCTTAAAAAAAGTGCTCCCATAGCTTGTCTCAAGTTTTACTATTTATGGAGCCAAAGTTGGCTCTATGAACAATAATAACAACTAATCACTGGGCTGTGTGAAAGTCTTCGGCTCTAGAATTAAATTCCCTCTTCTTTTCTCTTTTAAATTTCAAAACTCCCCCATATTTTTGTCAATTTCTTTTTAAAAACCTATGATAATCTCGAGATTTCAAGTTCTATATATGTCTGCTCATTTCACCCCTCCTTGCTCACTTTATCCATTCTATAACGAGAGGTTTCGTCTGGCAAGTTGTAATCACGTAGACCTTGAGTATTTCAAAAATTGCTCATTCAAAATCATTTTTTAATGCACTTATGCCCCACAATTTGATTCTCAGGACAACTTCAACATCTCTCTTTCTCCCTTGCAATCAAACCTTCTTCGTCCTCCGTCATTGGTGCCTGTGATCCAACCCTCAAAGGCTTGAACCGCATGAGCGAGTTTGCTTTCTATTCTTCAAGCAAACCTCCACCATTCCTAATCTCTCAGGGCTTTCCTTGTACTGTTAATGGCTTTTGGCCCATTTTCTTATTTTGAAAGAAACCCAAATAGGTATGTGTGCTGTGAAAATGAGCCGACCCAACCCTAAAGGGCTAGCCTTTAACGGGCTTAAGTTTAAAAAAGTTAGCCTATTTAAGTTCGAGTTCTCTTTGAGGGGCTCATACCTAAAGCCCAACTCTAAGCATAATAAGATTAGGGTTAGCTCTATAGACTTTAAGCCCTTTTACTCTCTCTCTTTATTTTTTTTAAATTGAAAATAGTTCATTCATTTCATTACAATATAAAATTTTACTCCAATGTCAAATCACATAGACTAAACAACAATAAACAAACAAACTAAACACAATAAACAAGTAGCAATAAGCTCAAATTATAATTAGAAATAAGCAAACAAATTAAACAACATCTAAATGAGCTAAATGTTAGAAACACAATTCAAATCAAAATGCTAACAAGTAATGAAGCCAAGATCAGCTAGATCTATCTATTGTCCACCATCAAGAACTACAATCTCAAGAAAATCTTTAAATCAATACACATAAATACTCAATAACTCAATCATTAGTAGCATCACCATTATTTTCTTCACTATCATCAAGTTCAACAAAATTCAATTATGATCTATTTATAGCTGACTCTTCAAGGGCAAAAATATCAATATTTTCTTCTTTTTCTTCTTCTTCACCTTCATTATTTGCAACAAAAAATAAACAAAATATAGTTATTATTTATTATGTTGTTTGCATGGTTAAAAATAAAATAAATATAAATTACCATTGTACATAAAACCATGTAACTAGTTATAAACGCAAATGATAGCCTAAACATTAGCTAGAAGAATGAAACTTCGGTACTTTATTAGGCTGCGTGAACTAATGCTAAAAGCTAATTCATTAGCTACTGTATTTATCAAAATGCTAAGAATACAGCTGTCATCCTTGAAAGAATTTGATATCGATATTGATTACTCTTCCAATTTAAGACATCTAATTCTTTCCAACTATCAGGCTTAAGTGTTGGTTCCTCCAAATAATTTTGAAGTTCAGACTTGCCCAAGGAAGAATGATCCATAATTGCATAAATATCTAGACACTTAGTTGAAGGAAATTAATATATAATATGTACGAGCACCTCGCAAACTCAATCGGATTCAGTCGAAGAAGAGGGCTTCGTGAACTCGAAGACTTGCAGACTCAGTGAATGAAGACTTCAATGAATGAAACTCAATGATTTAAAGATTCAAATGGCACTGGTGTCACAAACTCGTAGCTAGCAAAGTGAAGGTGAGGAGTGAGTTGTGAGCCTCAGTCGTCAAATTGAGTGTCGATGAGGAGTGATTAACATAGAGTTTGTTATCGTTGAGGATGGATCTGGATTCTGGAGATTGGAGTGGCGAAATAGGGTGAGGCAATTAGTGACTATTAGCTTCAAATCTAATTATCTAAAGGGTGAAGGCGTGAGCATGAAGCTGTGAAGGAGAAGACTGAAAAAATTGACAATTGCATTCACGTGAGGCATGACTAAAAATTGAAGTGAATTATTAGGGTTAGCTTTTTTTTTTTTTCCCTTCCCTTCTTTAGTAGATATGGGCTCCAACTTACAAAATACATATGGGGTTTGAAGTTTTGCTTTTGTCTAGCCAAGCAAGGTCCCACATGGTTTTATGACAATCAAATTTTTGGAAAGATTCATTCATCAAAATTCACAAGAGATGGAAGCTTTGAAATTTCAAACAGGATGATAAATGAACTGGCATGAAGTCCTCTCTTTAAACACGACAAATCTAGCAAATAGCCAAGCTGAAAGTCAAGTTTCAGTAATCTCCTACTCTGTTGATCAGTGAAGTACATTGCAGTACTAATTATATCCATGCAGCAACCTTACAAGAATTTCAAATTTTAAAAAAGGGCAAGCAAGTGAGGGAAGGCAAGCAAGTAGTCCTCATGTGTTCCTAGAACTATTTCTGAGGCAATTCAACAACCCGCCAACTTTTGGGCCTACATTCTGTAAGCAGCAATGGAACCCCACTCCTTTTCCTTTCTTTCAATACATACAATGGAAGTAAGATTATCTAGAGTGCTTAGTGCACTTTAAGAATAAGTTGAAGGATCAAACAGTATAATTATCTCCAACTCAACGCATTACAGAAACCTTGCTTACTTTCTGGGGAATCTTGAACCTGGGATTTTGCTCCACGAAAGCGGGGGGCCTCTGGCACACCACTGATGCAGCCCTAATCAAGACCCCGGCAGTTAGACCCGTTATGATATACTTTTTATGATTGGTTTCGTAGTCAAAGAAGTGTATCAGATACTTCTCTCCCATCCACTCCCTCTCCTCCTGACAACGATTTTCATCCTGATTCAAGCAATGACATCAGACAACCCGTAGGTGAATATGAAGAATGGAGAAGACAGAAATAGAAATTAGAGCGGACCTTGAGAAACATCTCTAAAGGTGCATCAAATACCGATTCCACTTCAGCAGGATTCAGAATAGGTTTGAATGCTCTCTTGTCATGAAGTATGCCAATGACAGGAACCACTCTCAATAGGTGCTGCAAAATGGAATTGGGGAATAAAACCAATGACCTTTTTAAAATTATGAGCGAGAGGGCATCATTGTTGGGTATTGGAAACAACTTCCTAGAGAGCAGAGAAATTAAGAAAACCACATATATCAAACTAAACCCTGCAATCTAGTCCAGAGATAGTGACAGTTAGATCAGTTTAGTAAAAGAGATCATTAAATCTCACAATTCCTGTGAATTGCAATGGCATCTCAGATGGCTATATGTGTACTTCATTCACACGGCTGCATAATAAATAAATTCCTTTGGGCCATAATATATCTAATACAATACTGCAAATAGTATATACCCAACCACCAAGTATCTACATGCCATGCACTTATTAATATTAATAAAATCTCTGAAAATTATATAGATTGAAAGCCTCCAGCTTAAGCCACTAGGTAACGGTAATGCATTTGAATAGATTGCAGAAGGTCTTAGATTTAATCCACAGTGTTCTGTTGTACCCAACAAAAAAAGAAGGAAACTCCTATATTCAGTCATGAGTTGCCCTCTACATTTTCATTATTTACAAACCTTTTGAGTTTTCAAGAGCTTTCCGAATTTAAACTAAAATCCAAACTGAAGCAAAAGATAATTAATTAAACAAAAAAGATGTTGTCCAGATTATGTAACATAGTAACGTGTGTTTTAAACAAATATCATAGAAGGGACTTTGCCGCAAAATTCCTCGCAATTATAGGAGAATCCTCAATCTTACAATTAGCCTGTCCGAACGTAAAAATTGTCAAACCCACACCAATTATTTTAACGCGTAAATTATTAGAGAGAACCATACCTTGGATAAGAATGGTTCAAGAAAAGTAACGACACTGACAAGTTCAGGGTCCAAACCAATTTCCTCCTTCGCTTCTCTTTTTGCAGTATCTTCATCATCCTCATCCCCTTCATCCGCTTTCCCACCAGGCAAGCCCACTTCACCTGTTACGCACAACAAGAATGCTTAATTCATTTCCTTTAATCAAACACAAGCGGGGATAAACTTTCCCATGTTTTAAACCCTCAAATAATATATATATATATATATATATATATATATATATTCCCATTAAATCAACAGCACTTATCCCTAACTCGACATACCCGGGTGAGTAGATAGCTTGGATGATCGCTTAGTTAGAATCACCCTTAGATCCCCAGCATCCCCTTCGAAAATGCAGATCAAAACGGCAGCTCGTTTAGGTCTAAATTTTTCCTGGTTTTGAGCAGTTGGAGTGGTGGACTCTGGAAACCCGACCTGCAAAACGACCTTTGCCTCATTTTCTTCCATTGTTTGCTCATCCATGTCGCCGTGAAATGATGGGGGTTTGTAAAGGCGAAGCTGCTGAGCTAAGGGGAGGAGTCTCTGCGATCCTACATAATTATTACTATTGAGTTTGGAAGACGAGTCCATGAACTTGGAGAGCTCCGGGAAGCAACATTGTCGTCGATAGCCTTATCGTTTTTGTTTTTTTTTGAAATAACAAGAGGCAAGTTAAGCTTGGAAGAAGTCTGACAAAATAAAGCGGGGGTCAAGTACACATCAAGGCACTCGTTAGGAACCCAGGGTAGCAAAGTCGCCTCAAGTCGACCTGCTTGACCCATTTTGGCCATGTAATCTGCGCATCGAATAATCTGTGTGTGAGAATGTTGCAGTGTCACCCCCTCATTCAGGAAGAGGAAGTTTCTAATAAACGCTATGTCATCTCGCAATGGGTGATCGAAGGCCTGATCACAATTGAAAGTATGGACGGCTTGTATGGAGTCTGAATATATTCTGATCCTGTTATAGTTCAGTTGGGGGCAAACTCCAGCACTACTTTGATGGCTAAAATTTCAGCATTTGCACTCTTATAAGGTATTTGATAGCCTTCTCGTTGATAAGTACCGTCAGAATCAATTATGTCCCGTAACTTCACCGGAAAACAGAAATTAATTCGAAAATGGATTGGTAGATTCTTTGACTGGTTGGCTTCGGGGTTCAATTGGCTTTTGTAACATATAATAATAACTTGAAGTTGAAAAGTTCCACGAATGGCATGGAGGCCACGGTGAGAGAAACCTCAATATTAGCCGCTCAAGTTTCTTTCTTTGTCTCTCTCTCTCTCTCTCTCTCTCTCTCTCTCTCTCTCTCTCTCTCTCTCTCTTTTGTTTTTTGTTTTGTGTTTTGTGTTTTGTTTTTTATTTTTTGTTTTTTTGTTTTTTTTTTGTGGTCACAACCACTCAAGTTTCATGGCTTTTGGCTCTTGTTGATTTTCTGCAACGAGAGCTAAACTATACAGGGAAGGTGACATTGGTGATTGGGTCAGTTATCCAAAAGATGCTCAATTATTAAACAATGGAAAAAAATCTAAAATCATTTAAAAGGGAGGGTTTTATCAAAAATTAAATGTCAATGGTTGTAAATTGTAAACATCATAAGTAAAACGGTTCCAAAAAATTATTAATATAGAAATAAAACTAAGAAAGATGGTATTCACGTTCTTGTGATGAAGCTTGATAATTTTTTTACAAGTGCGTGTCGTTCTTTTTTTTTTTTGGGGGGGGGGGGGAATAGTGCGTGTCGGTTGTGAGTTGTAGCACGACTCGCACCCATAAAGAATTTTTTCAAAAATAATTTAGTTAAATTTTTTTCTAGATTTTATCAAAAGACAAAAACTCATCAAGTTCACTGCAAAGTAGGGGTGGTCATCGTGGTCCGATTGTAGAGGTTACAACACAAATACTGTTTCGACTTTCGAGTTAAGAGGGACAAAGCATGCACACGTGGAAATAAACTACTCCCTCCTCTGCTCATTATACTCTCTCGAGTCTCTACTAGTCTACAATATTGGATATTTTTCATAAGTCGATGTTAGTTCAAAATGTAGAATCTTTTGTAGCTTTAATTATTATTTTTTTTTCATTTTTACCTATGTATTAGTTAATGTGTCTCTAGTAATTATATTATACTCATTTTTTTCTACTAGATACATTTTCTATTTTTTACAGAATACTTTTCGTGTACCAAATATATACTATAACTCTTAAGCTTGTTGGCTTGAGAAGAGAAAAACCTACTAGCGAAGGATGGTGGTGTATCATCCTTCTGGGTCCTTCTGCATAATATTTTAGGCATATCCTAAAATCACATGTTGATTTATCTAACATTCAACTCGAGAGGCGCCAAAACCAGAAAATTGGCACTCAGAAAAACAGTCACTCTGGAGTTTTTGAGACAGCCAAAATATACTCCCAACGTTACTTGTCCTTTCTTCCCATTGCATGACATCATCTCTACGGAAAGTCCTCTGCATTTTCCACGCAATGGAAAAGAAAATTCTCCTCCAGATTGCAGGTGCACGGAATGTGGACCTCAAAAAGGAAATGTAGGTCAGGCAGAAAACCAAAAAGGCTATAGGCACAGAGAGAGGGAAAGTGATGAATAACTTGACGAGCCAGGATAAAATTCCTTATCACATGGTTTCATGACAATCAAATTTCCAGAAAGATTTATTCATCAAAACTCACAAGAGATGGAAGCTTAGAAATTTCAGACAGGATGACAAATGAACTGGCATGAGGTCCTCTCTTTAAACACGACAAATCTAACAAATAGCCAAGCTGAAGGTAAAGCTTCAGTAATCCCCTACTCTGTCAATCAGTGAAGTACATTGCAGTACTAATTATATCCATGCAGCAACCTTACAAGAATTTCAAATTTTAAAAAAGGACAAGGTGGCCTAAATAAACAAGTGAGGGAAGGCAAGGTAGTAGTCCTCAAGTGTTTCTAGAACTATTTCTGATGCTGTAAGCAGCAATGGAACCCCACTCCTTTTCCTTTCTTTCAATACATACAATGGAAGTAAGATTATCTAGAGTGCTCAGTGCACTTAAAGAATAAAATTGACCTATTTTGAAGAATCAAACAGTATAATTATCTCCAACTCAACGCATTCCAGAATCCTTGCCTAGATTCCGGGGAATCTTGAACATAGGATTTTGCTCCACAAAAGCCGGGGGCCGTTGGAACACCACTGATGCAGCCCTAATCAAGATCCCAGCAGTTAAACCCCATATGATATACTTTTTATGATCGGTTTCGTAGTCAAAGAAATGTATCAGATACTTCTCTCCCATCCACTCCCTCTCCTCCTGACAACGATTTTCATCCTGATTCAAGCAATGACATCAGACAACCCGTAGGTGAATATGAAGAATGGAGAAGACAGAAATAGAAATTAGAGCGGACCTTGAGAAACATCTCTAAAGGTGCATCAAATACCGATTCCACTTCAGCAGGATTCAGAATAGGTTTGAATGCTCTCTTGTCATGAAGTATGCCAATGACAGGAACCACTCTCAATAGGTGCTGCAAAATGGAATTGGGGAATAAAACCAATGACCTTTTTAAAATTATGAGCGAGAGGGCATCATTGTTGGGTATTGGAAACAACTTCCTAGAGAGCAGAGAAATTAAGAAAACCGTGTGTGTGTGTGTGTGTATCAAATTAAACCCTGCAATCTAGTCCAGGTACAGTGACAATTAGATCAGTTTAGTAAAGGAGATCATTAAATCTCACAATTTCTATGAATTGCAATGGCATCTCAGATGGCTATATGTGTATTTAATTAACAGGGCTGGATCCTAAACAAATTCCTTTGGACCATAATATATCTAATACAACACTGCAAATAGAATATACCCAACCACCAAGTATCTACATGCCATGCGTGTATTAATATCAATAAAATCACTGAAAATTATACAGATTGAAAGCCTCCAGCTTAAGCCACTAGGTAACGGTAATGGATTTGAATAGATTGCAGAAGGTCTTAGCTTTAATCCACAGTGTTCTGTTGTACCCAACAAAAAAAGATAGAAACTCCTAGATTCAGTCATGAGTTGGCCTCAACATTTTCATTATTTACAAACCTTTTGAGTTTCCAAGAGCTTTCCGTATTTAAACTAAAATTCAAACTGAAGCAAAAGCTAATTAATTAAACAAACAAGATGGTGTCCAGATTATGTAACATAGTAACATCTGTATTTTAAACAATTATCATAGGAGTGAGTAACATCTGTGTTTTAAACAATTATCATAGGAGTGACTTCGCTGCAAAATTCCTCGCATTTATAGGAGAATCATCAATCTTACAATTAGCCTGTCCGAACGTAAAAATTATCAAACCTATACCGATTATTTCAACAGGTAAATTATTACAGAGAACCATACCTTGGATAAGAATGGTTCAAGAAAAGTAACGACATTGACAAGTTCAGGGTCCAACCCAATTTCCTCCTTCGCTTCTCTTTTCGCAGTATCCTCATCATCCTTATCCCTTTCATCTGTTTTCCCACCAGGCAAGGCCACTTCACCTGTTACGCACAGCACAAATGCTTAATTCATTCCCTCTGATCAAACACAATCGGGGATGAACTTTCCTACGTTTTAAACCCACAAATAAAAAAAATATATTCCCATTAAATCAACAGCATTCATCCCAAACTTGACATACCCGAGTGAGTAGATAGCTTGGATGATCGCTTAGTTAGAATCACCCTTAGATCCCCAGCATCCCCTTCGAAAAGGCAGATCAAAACGGCAGCTCGTTTAGGTCTAAATTTTTCCGGGTTTTGAGCAATTTGAGTGGTGGACTCTGGAAACCCGACTTGTGAGACGACCTTTCCCCCATTTTCTTCCATTGTTTGCTCATCGATGTCGTCCTGAAACGATGGGGGTTTGTAAAGGCGAAGCTGCTGAGCTAAGGCAAGGAGTCTCTGCGTTCCTACATAATTGTTACTGTTGAGTTTGGAAGACGAGTCCATGAATTTGGAAAGAGGTGCTCTGGGTAGCAATACAACTGTCGATAGCCTTTTCAGAATCGAAAACCATGACTGGTTGATAAGTACCATCAGAATCAATTATGTCTCGTAACTTTACCGGAAAAAAAGAAATTAATTCGAAAATGGGTTGGTAGATTCTTTGACTGGTTGGGCTTCGGGGTCCAATTGGCTTTTGTAACACATAATAATAACTTGAAGTTAAAAAAGTTCCATAGATGGCATGGAGGCTACAGTGAGAGTAACCTCGATATTAGCCACTCAAGTTTCATTGCTTTAGGCCCTTGCTGATTTTCGGCGACGAGAGCTAAACTATACAGCGAAGGTAACATTGGTGACTGGTCAGTTATCCAATCCATATAACGTCGCAAAAGATTCTCAATTATTAAGCAATGAAAAATATCCAAATCATTTACAAGGAAGATATTTTATCAAAAATTAAACGCCAATGGATGTAAATTGTAAACATGCATCATCAACACAACGGTTCCAAAAAAAGAAAAAATTAATATAAAAATGAAACTAAGAAAGATGGTAATCACGTTCCTGTGATGAAGCTTTAGAGATATTTTTCACGAGTCCGTGTCGGTTGTGAGTTGTCACACCCATGAAGAAATTTTTTTAAAAATAATACTTAATCTTTTTTTTTTAGATTTTTTGAAAAGACAAACTCATCAAGTTCATTGCAAAGTTGGGGTGGTCATCGCGGTCCCATTTTAGAGGTTACAGCACAAATACTGTTTGGACTTTCGAGTTAAGAGGGACAAAGCATGCACACGTGGAAATAAACTACTTCCTCCTCTACTCATTATACTCTCCCTACTTTTCATTATTGGACATTTTCTGTAAGTTGATGTTAGTTCAAAATGTATAATCTTTTGTAGCTTTAATTTTTTCCCCCATTTTTACCTTTGCACTAGCAAGTGCGTCGCTAGTAATTATATTATACATGAAAAATTGTTGATATTAATTGTAGACAATAACAAAACTGAATAGATAAGTCAATTTTTCATAAAATTTTAAAAAATTGAATTTTCTTAATATGCACTACTCCATTTTCAAATATATGTGTGTGTGTGTGTATAAAGATATCTTGCATTTCTTTGTTTTTTTATAAGTAAAATAATAAATTTCAAGAAGCGTCAATTGCATTTTTTTTTTACAAATTGTCCCTGACAAATGAATAATAACATTAAATTAATGAAAAAAAGTAAACATTAACTTGAGGTATCTTAATTTAAATATTTCAATTTCATATATAATTATTATTATTAACTAATTTTATTAAAGTATTGATTGAATTTTTTCTATATTTAAAAAAGTCCTACACAGATTAGAAACGTTTTACATTAAAAATATGTCTAAGGTGTTGGCTGATTGGACCTCTAATAATTGGCGTAATCTAGTAAAAATCACACCTTAGCTCCGGCTATCCTAGAGGAGAAAAAGGGAGGGGGAGCTGACACTAATATAATATTTAATAGATAAAAAAAGTGTTTCTTTTTTAGAAAGAAAATGGTAAATGTACCAATCCTTCCCCCCCCCCCCTACTAGATACATTTTTTTTTCCATAATATATTTTCGTCTACAAAACATGCACCGAAATTCTTAACTTGTTGGCTTGAGAAGAGAGAAAAACCTACAGGCGAAGGATGGTGGATAAACCAGAATATAGTTATACACAATGTTGTTGAGAAACTCGTACATGGAAACGAAATTGTAACAATCTGCAAAAGCAATCCCACCAAGCTTACAAAAGCTCTCTTACACCAAGAAAAGGAATAGGTAGAGAGAAAAGACTGTTATATCTACATTTTGAATTTTCTTTGAACATACATGATCAGAAGAAGAAGAAAAAGAAGAAGGATCAACCAATCAATCACACTCATGCCAGTCTGGCGACCTATTCTCCACTGCCAAAATGTCTTCAGATTCATCGAAGTCCAGTATTCTCTTAATTGGAAATAACCACTATAAATAAGATTGCTCTTCTACCTTGGCTTTTTACATTGGGACAAACAGAAAATCAATTTGACTCAGCTCAAGTCATAAACAGTAACAAACAGGTTTGATTCTCCTCAGGATTTATTGCTTTCCTCATGAACCACATTATTCTCTGGGGCAGGATAAGATAATCTCCTAGCTTTTGAAGTCACTTTTGAAGTCCTTTTTGCATTAGCCACAGGAGGTTTAACTGAAACTGGTGTTTTTGGTGTTGACGGGTTCTTGTCCTTTTGAACCATTTTGAGCTGCCTAGTTTGAGCTTTCTTGGGGTTAATTGGCTTCTCAAGGACACGGCTTTCCCATGGACGAGCAGCAATCCAGCGTTCCTTCCAGCTCCAACCCCAATTAGCTTTGTTAGGTTCATAACTACCAAGCCCTTGGTTAGAGTTAGCCCTCCACTACAATTACAAAGATATGAATGTGAATGTGCTTTTCCGAAGGATCTGGTGACATAAAAGTGAAAGAGACTCAGTTCTAACCTCAAGATTAACCTACCTGATGAGAAAAGGCATAAGCCATGGCTCTTTCACGCTTAACAGCTGCTTCTTCTCTCTGATGTATCTTAGCCAAAGTCTCCTCCATGGTTTCAGAACCACCACTCCATTCCACCTGTCATTTGTTTCAACAATTACCTTTGGAGAAAGGGAAACAAAATTGGGCACAAACAAGCTAAAGTACCCAGTGGAATATTTCATAACCACAAATGATTAATCAACTAGATTTTGCAAAGGTAGCCATGTTTTACTTATGCATATTTTGCTGGTAATCTAACTTCTTGTCATAGTAAAGAGAAATTTGATCCCAGAATTTTGACTTTTGAGGATGTGATAAAAAGGAGCCAGCACTTTACCAGGTTTTGGGTCATGAAGAAAATTTAAATTGGACTTAGAGGATCCAAATTAAACAACATGAAGAAATGATTTGTATTGAATCTTCTATGAGACCTTTAAAATAGAAACCATAATCTTCACAAGCCATCAACCCACAAGGAAGGAGCAAGAAAGGCTACCTCTAAATCATGGAGCTTTGCCTCAAGTTTAAGTTGAGATTCAAGTTTCTTCCGCCTGATCCTATCTTCAGTGACCATAAAGATTCGGCGAGTTCTAATCTCAGCTTGAATCTTGCTCCATTTATGAATGCAGCTTACAGCTCTACTGGCTTGGTCTTTAACAGAATGACCTTGTATCTTGACCTTAAGTTTTGCACAACCTTTCAAGCGCCGTAGAGATTTTCTAGCCTGACAAATTAAAAATCAGCATTAGAAAAAATAACAATAGTTACAAACTTGGTTATATATTTGATGCAGCATCTCTCAGCTATATGCATAAATGGTATGAATATCAGGGACTACACTAAACACCTACTGAACGAAGTTGTATTTCAAAGCAGCCACTTTTTCCAATCCCATCAGTAGAGATCAAACCATCAGGGGAAAAGCTGAGTCTTGATTAAAAGGTTGAATTGATGTTATTAAAAAAATTTACCAAAGCAAGGTAACCATTAAGAAATCATACTGAACATCCACCAACTGTTTATAAATGGAACGAAGATGTCAAGAAAGAGTCCAGAAATGAGCTTTGAATATAAGAATATTAAGAACAAGTTCTTATTCCTGCAAGCATATGATGGAAATGATTAGTTTTGGGTGTCACAATTTGCAACAAGCTGACGCATTTGAATGTCATGCCTTCAACCTTCAGCCTTCAGCTAGAGCCTTGAGGAATAAACTATTAATGGTCATATCAATGTTCTTTTACTATGCACCATACATTTACACTTAAATAATGTGCACAAAAAGAAGAAACAGGCAGATGAGATGAGTCAGCAAGTCACAAGAAATTCATCTCCTTCCCATTCTCTACCTCCCTGCTTAACAGATGCCAATAGCCAAAAGCAGATGTTGATAAACTCAAACTAGGCCTACCTAGAATAAACTTCTGGAGTCAGGATTCTCATCAGAGTTTAAAAGACCCTTTGCACTCTTATTCAATAATGAAGGATCAATAGTCATGTTTGTCTGCATTTTGATGAAAGGCTGCATTGGTTTTATATTGTTAGTGGTATTTTTAATTACTGCATAGCATCTCTAGTTCTTCACTGCAATAATAATGAAAACAAATCCACATTATTGAAGATCATGATAGCTGATAAAGATTTCTACACTCTGCTATCATTGTTTGTATAAGCTTGCTTTATGATATGCAAACGTAGAAAATAGACTTAATATATAATTCCATAGAAAACATCCTCCAAAATGCAAATTAAAGGCTGGTAAAACGCAATAGTATAACGATATTGACAGCAGAATAGTAAAAAACCAGATAGGGAAGCACATTTGCAAAGAAGTTAGAATTGTTCTTCAATCAATAAAACTAGATTGGAGAATTAAAAAACTTTATTTTGCTAAAATATCAAATTTGCGCACCAAATAAGCCCGGAATGCGGTCTGGATCATTGTTGCTGCAATAGTTTCAACTGGCACCCCAGGTGACACAAGATTTGAACCCTCAGTGCCATTTGTTAAATTACTTGAATCATTTCCCGTATAATTCTTCAACTTCAATGCAGATTGTTTCTTGGAGGCTGAAGATCCCTGTCTCAGATTGAGATGGAAACTTCCACGTTACTGCAGCCCTCAAAAAAGAGTGAACTCCGAGTACATTGAAATGAAAGGCATTGCTGCTACTTAAATAGTTATCCAGGTACATTTAAGCCTTTGTTAACATAAACTATCAACCATGCGTGTCATGCTAAACTCAGACAAAAGTTATCATCCATGATGTCCTGCTTGAAATATAACACAATTTAAAGGTGTAAAATAGTATAATGCTAATTATAAAAAACTATCAGACCAGTATAACTCTTCAATCTTTATCAACAAAGAACCATATTTTGATAAAAATGTTAGAGATCAAATAGAGAAGGAAAAAAGCTGCGGAGCCAACTTGCTGACATGGCGAGTCATATAGATAGAAAATTTAAAGTCCATATCATGAAGCATTAGCACTAATAATAGGGCAAACTGAATGATTAATCATCAATCCTTTTTTTTCGAAAGATTAATAATCAAACTTTGTATATACATTAAAAGACAAAATTGGTTTTTTTAAAAAATAAACTACCAATCTGAACTGACATAAATAAATTCCCCCAAGGATTAATTGGAAATAAATTAAATGACAGAAAATGCAGTATACCTTTACTTTCTTTGAATTGCCTTCTTTTGATTTTCTTAAGCTAATTATTGTCTTAAACCAATCACCTGAACCCATTCCTGATGCAAAGTAACTTCTTTCAAATGAGCATAATCCTGGAAGAAGTTGTGATGAATCTAATGTAGATTAGCATATCATTCAACAAATAAGGATTTAGTGCATAAGCCATAATCAAAAGAAAATAAGTGTTCTGCACAACACTAACAAACGGAGAAAATGTAATAGTAAAAAAGCAACATTGAAAATCCTATCTTTGGTGTTTGTGTTTTCTATATCAGAAAATGAAATTGAAGTGATATTGTTAAACAATAATCTCTCCAAGATTACATTCCACAAAAGATTGTAAACTGAATATCTTTTTGTATCTTGAGCAGTTTGTAACCAAGTCCACCATATTTTATATGCATAATGCCTGCAGCTAGCGTAGAAACATTTCTTGCGCATTTGAAACATGTCTACCTGCATAAGCAACATCATCACAACCATACACGCAATAATGATAATAATAACAGGGTGTCTCGGACCTCGAAACAAGATGAAAGCTACGGAATTGTTGTCCCTTAAAATTGCCAATTGATTCTGTTAACAACCACCTTAATTTCAGAGAAACAAACATCTATCCCAGTGGATCACGGTTTGTAAAAGTCCAAGAGAAAAAAGATACAGTAAATTTCACTATTTGAACTCAATTATAGCTATTACTCTATGTTACGCTGTCAGAGCTAATGCCAACACGGTGACAACCAACTGATTTCCTCGCTGAATAAGTAATCCTAATAATAGTTATCCTACTAACTGAAAATTGAAAAAGTAAATTAAAATCACTAGAGGAAATTGTACCCCCCATCTAACTTGTACAGTGATCAACTTAACAGAATGGTGGAAACAGGGATCAACTGGTCGACTGCATGAAAGCAATACATAATTGCTTATCAAACAGACACCTTAAAACCCACCTCACATGATAACCAAAGAAGCAAAAGGGGTTTCCCAAATCACAATAGTCAACCCAGCAATGAAACGAAAACTGTGCAAACAAAGAGGGGGGAAAATGCATCTGAGACTGAGAGAGAATGGTATACCAGAGAAGAATCTGTGAAGCGTCTAAGGTCTAACCACACCTTTTCGCACTTCGGCTACCAGAAACTCGGGTGGAAAAAGAGGCACAATAATATCAGCAGAAGTAAAGAAGAAGGAAAGCAAAAGACTGAGAGAAATAGTCAGAAAAGGAATAAAAGGTGGGTATGAAATATGGATTGCCATGGCCCAATACCGCCTTTAATTTTCTTAAACGATGTGGAAGATGAGAAATAAAATATAACATAATATTCTAGCTCATCAATCCCCCGTTGTCAAAGCCTTAACCGACGCATACGTCCCAACTCAGAAGATATCGTGTGCAGCGTAGTACAGCGTGATGCATGATCAGCATCATTGGCTGGTTGGATAACAGGGTTCGTTACAGCGACAGCAGAACAAATCCGAGGTGGTACAAGGTCGCTTGCCTGACATGTTTATTTAAGTTCAAGTCATATTCAAATTTTTAATTAAATTTATTTATTTATAAGTTAAATTTATTTTTTTAAAATTTAATTTATAAACTCATCAAGTTAGTCTATTTACACACGCATATAATATAATAAATTATAAATACATCAATTTTATTATCTAATTTTTAATCAATTATTTTTTTATTGTTAGTCATATTTTCAATTATATTTAAATTATATATTAATTTTAATGTTATTATTTTATTATTATAATTTATTGTAATTAATAAATCCATTCAATTATTATATATTATATAATATAATAATATTAAAGTATGTTAAGATGTTTAAAATTAAAATGTAAACTTACTTTTAGATAGGCTTAATATACTTTAAAGTCAAGCTAGATTTTAGATAAGTTTAAACTTAAATTATAAAAAAAATTTTATACAGTTTTTAAATCATGTTCAAATTTTTGATTTACCGCATAAACTTAAATTTATTTAGTTAAAATTTAACTCAATCTAACTTATTTTTACTTTTTATGGTAATGGGTTGCTCTGGTTTCCAAGTATTTGTAAAAAAAAAAAAAAAAGAATTCGGCCTCAATTATTGGTCATGTAATTGGATGAAGTGTAAGGGGGGAAATACATCCTCGAGGGAAATGACGGGTCAGCCAGGTTATCGTAGGTGGTGAGATCAAGTACAGGTAGAATCTTTTGGTTATAATAAGGTTGAAACGTGGCAGGTTGTGGACCGTGGCTTGAAACTTGTAGATGAGATTGAAAGGCAAAATTTAATGACAGAAATTGTGCGACCTTCGGCTCATAAGACCAACGCTGCAACCAACTGAGCTACGGGACCAGACTTATTTAATTATCGTATTATTAAGAATGGTCCCTAATTAAACATTTCCTTTTAGGAAGAGACAGTGACTTTTTGCGGGGGTGAACTAAGCTACCCCGACAAAAAACAATGGGTTCTGTTGGTTATAATAAGGGGAAATTTCATTTGTCCCCTTCATAAAATTACCATTCACCCCCTTAAAAATATTTCTCTTGCAGCATTCAAGTTTTTTAAAAATTTCAGTTTTCAATCCAAGAAGCTAATGCTATTTGTATTGCTAATTTTATAGTAGCTAGAGATATTTGAGCAACTAATAAAAACGTTGGTTCATATCATATAAATATCAGAATATATTAAATGTTATACAATATTTTTTCTACTTATCAAATAAAATATTAATGTTTATTTTTTAAAAGATATCAAGGTCACATTCTTTAATTTTAAATTTCTACTCATTTGCACTCAAAGTAACAATTTTTTTTTCCATATATAGTATAAGAAGTGGATCCCTAATAACAAAAATTATCTTCCCCAAAATATTTTCTAATAAAATATAAAAAATATCTCTAATTATTTATATTGAAAATATTTATTCTAAAAGAGTATGATTTTTTATCAAAAAAGAGAAGCAAAGTGTGATATTAATTGCTATTAGGCTACTCCATCATCCTCTGTTTGGCAAAAAAACAAAAGGGCTATCATTAGGCATGCTAGAGATATAGGGTCTCAAAAAGATAAAAAAAATTGACTTCTAATCAAATGCAGGGAACCCTAGCTCCCTTATCATAGTTCACCCAGATGCAAGAATGTAAAGAAAAGCAGAAATACATTAATTAAAAAAGAGGTAGCGAGCTATATCGGCCGTATAACAAAAAAGTAAAGACTAAAACTACATGATAAAAGAAAAAATAAAGCAATAGACGCAGAATTTAGGAATTTGATTGGGAGTTTCTTAATGATGATTTATTTGATTAGAAAGGGCTCTTCTATTTGTAGATGATTTTGGCTTGGTGCTCAAGCCCCATGATTATCACTTTCCTTAAATTTAGGAAGCACTTCCTCCATTATGGTCACTTTCCCTACTTTCATAATTCAAGCATCATGGGTGGAGTGCAGAGATAATTTCCTAGACTCAGTCTTAACTTAGTGGTTAAGGCTTCATGAATATTTATTTTTAATTATTTTAAGGGTGATTAAGTTGAGTTGAGTATGGGCATTCAAATTCACAATTTGGGTGCAAATAATGCCTTTCACATACAAATTGGCTGGAGACTTCATAGGCCAATTTTGTATGGATATTTCCATTGGCCCTACTTTCAAGCATTGCGTGAGTAGTATGTCTTGGAGGACCAGCTCATTCCCATTATAATTGATGGTTGATCTAGTACTTCCTTAGAGGACACTCTTTTAGTTAAGAATTAAGGGCCATATGGTCTAGCTTAGGTCAAGTTTCTTAAGGTTTAGGACCTTAAAGGCTGGTTCTGTAGAATCTAGTTGCTGTGGGCTTGATCTTGTGACTTTTGCCCTTATAGAGAGGGCCTTTGCAAAGCTTACCTTTTTGACTTTCGCCCTTGTTTCCTTGTGGTGCTATCCCATATGGCTTCGGCCCTGTGGTACAGCCCAGTGCAAATTTAGCCCCTATGGAGAGAGCCTTTAGGAAGAGAGCTCTTGTGAAGAGGGCCCTTGTAAAGCTTGCCTTTCTAACTTTGGCCTTTATGGTGCTAGCCCATGTAAAGTTAGCTCTTATGGGGTTAGTCCTTATGGGATTGGTGGCTTAGGATTCAGTCTTTATGGACATGGCCCTCATGGGATTTGCGGGTCTCTTAAAATATGACTCCTTTATATCAAAGCTATTTGAGTTTGATAGACTAGAGGCCATAAGAAATGACAGTTCAAGTACTAGGGCCATAGCAAACGACATCCTAGGACTTAATGAATATGAAAAGCTAGGCCCCATGGTTTTAAAACTTAACAGTCTAGGTACCAAGGCTATGAAATTGTTAGCCCAGGACCTTACACATCTCTTTTTTAGGGCCTTTGGATGTTGCACCTTGAATTTTTTGCAAACTTTTTAAGTTTCTTCTCACATCCTAAGTAAACTTGTCTACTTCTTCTCAGCCTAAAAATTGGCCTAAAGAGACACCTTGGAGATGGAATCCTCTTAATGAGCCTGTATAAACTCACCCTTAAGCTTCTCAATAGTGACTTGACTCAGAAGCTCGACTCTGGTCTTGAGATCTCTTCGCATTTCTTTGAGAGAGCCTTGTTGAGAGCATTAGTTGTGGTGCCACTTCTGAAGAGCTTTATAAAAGGTGTTTTGGTTTTGCTGTCATTCTTCCTCACAATGTCTTGTCCTTTGTCCTCCCTAGTAACTGAACAAGCCTACCATTAAGTTAGACATGCCATTTCTCATTTGAGCGATGTTATAATAGTCTTCGTTGTTGATCTTCTAGTCAAAGGACACATTGGGAGATTACCCCTCGAGTCTATCTATTTTTTAAACATACGAGCTAATTGGAGCTTGCTCCTTCAACAATCTAGATAGTATAGCAAAGATTAGGGGTGAGCAAAGCCTGGAAAATCTTACTCCACTAACACAATTAACCAATAAAATTTATGGTAATCAAAGGATTAACTCAAAAAGTAATTACCAAGTTTTAGTTCAAATTCAAGGGATCCCAAGTTTTCATAATCACAAGGATTTTAAATTACTCAAAATCTTTTATATCAGAGTAAAGATAAATTATAGAAGCATGGGATACCTTAGAGGAGTGAAAGAAATCGAAACAATAGAAAAACAACTCATGTCCTGTGAAACAGGGCAATGTGCCACGACTCGTGCACGCTACGCCGTGGTGTGTTACTCTCTGTGTCATGCATCGCAGCTCAGGCACCATGCGTCACAGCGTGTTACACATAAATATTAGCAATTTTGCTATCATTTGACAGCAGAATTGAGGAATTTTCGACCATCCCAATTCTCTGTCTGACGTCTCAATGACGTGATCTAAGTGTCTGAGAAAAACTATTTACATGAACTAGCTAATAGCATGAGTTTCACTTTCAAAATAAGTCATATCAAAATGTTAGATACCCAAATATATTTTAACCACTTTTTGAAATTTTCACACAAAAAAGGTGTCCAAAACCTACAACAAGTGCTAAAAGCATTTCCAAACATGAATCCATAAGCATTATTGGTTGAGTATGGTATGTTGCATGAATCTATAAGAGTTCATTGAGTATGGTCGGATGGTTTGTGTAAGCTATTAGCACGTATGGTTGAGTTGGGACACCCCATTTGGAAGATTTTGTGAAAATGTGGTAGAAATGAGTTTTGGTATCTAACTTCTTATAAAAAATGAGTTTGAATATGAAACATGTGCCATTAGCTAGATCTAGGAGAAAGCTCCATCTAGACACTGAAACCACCTCAATTGGATGTCAGATGGAGAATTGGGACCCGTCAGAAGTTCGCCCCTCATGCTGTTAAATGACAACATTGATCTATCAAATTTCGTGCAATGTGCCACGACGCATGGCACAAAGAAGACACGCCGTGGCACACGAGCCGTAAGCCATGGTGCATGTGTCATTTTTGCACTGAACTTATTTTTAAGTTTTAAGACTCATTATTTAGGTCTTAATTGATTTTCAAGTTTCCGTTTTGTTTTTAAAACTCTGACTTAGAGTCTTTAAATTATGTTTGGGATTTGAATTGACAAATTAGAATTCCTATGAAATAATTTTGAGAAATTATGCTTTTAAAACGTCAGATTACTATGATTTGGAGTTAATTGTGATTAACCTCAAGGAGGTTACAAGAGGCATTTACCATTGCATTGCACCCAAACCAAATAAAACATGTTCAAAACATCATTCCTACACTTGCGCTAGTATTTTTGCCATATCCATAAATATATATCATCATACACAAATACTCATGCCCCAAAACACAACCCATATATTGCAATAACAAAATAGTGCAAGTGAGATGGTATGCAACCTAGAATTGGCATTG